TGATGCAGCACTATAATGGAGCAACCTAAATGCGATCAAGGTTAATCGGAAATGATAGTCATCGTTAATGTTATCTGACTAATTAAACTGAGTTTCCACTGTGACTCTCGAAATCGTTGTTATTCATCTACCTACGTCAAAACAGTCGCTTCAAATATATATAGTAATTAGAACCGTGCTTTCGGGGATGGAATTAGCTAATAATTTCTGAACGATTTATTTCACGTCCTCGTCAAATTTCTTAGCGTTTATTTATTTTTTTTGAACTATCAAATGTTATAACAACTAATACATGTTTTATTTTTGCACTCTGATTGGTTAGAATTTTTCGGAATTGTGTTAGGGAATTTTAGAATTGGAAATTTAGAAATTTAGAACTTAGGGAATTTAGGAGGTTCATTCGGAAGGTGATTTTGAATTTCGGTGTTTTCAGAATTTGGGGATTTGAAGATTCGGTGATTTTGAATTTCGGGGTTTTCAGAATTTGGGGATTTGAAGATTCGGTGATTTTGAATTTTGGGATTTAGGAAATTTGGGATTTAAAGATTCGGGGATTTTGAATTTCGGGAATTTGAGAATTAGGGATTTAGAAAGTGTGAGATTTATGAATTTAGGACTTATAAAGTTTTGATCTCGCAACTCGAACTTTATGGACATGCGATTTAAGTTTATCACATTTGATCTGAAATCACGAGTCTGACTTGATGTTATGAGAGGTTTAATCCTATTCGAACGTTTCAATAGATGTTTCTGAACAATTTTTCAGTTTCTATTTTCTTACTCTCAAATTTTGGTTTTATTTAAACATCACTTTAGACGAATCTTTAAACTCCACAACAACTGTACGAACTTTATATTTATGGATTCTGAAGATCCCTCAGCAGCAAACATCCGAACATTAAAAATGATGAATCAACCTAAAAAAGCAGAAATTGAAAAAAGATTGATACAAAGTATGAGTCATCGTTCTTAATGCTCCTTTATAAAGAATCGTTCATTTCAAGATACCTTCAATCAAAACTCAGCTAATCAGATTATCATGAATTTGACGACATTTTCATTGAGATTGGATGCTTTGGAGAACCATCTAATTTGAAGTCAATTTCCATGGTACGACTCCATAAGGGATAATCTTTCTTGCTGTTAAATTTCAGTCCTTATCATCCCTTATTATCTCTCTGCTTCGTAACTACCATTATATCTTTCAGTCTGATAACTACGTTTAATACGATTCGCGAAATTAATCAGTTCTTCGTTTCCTCTTTCAAATTACTGATCAGTATTTTATGTCTGAATGTAACCACTAAAGGAAGAATTTTTACTGCAAGTTGTGAAAAAGATCATCTTCGAAGAGACCGTGATTGTCGTGTAATTATTATACGACTGTATAATTACTGTACATATAATAATTTTGAAAGGCGAACCTCTTAACATTTTACCCCTTTTATTTCTTTCGTTCAAATATCCATAAAAATCTATCTCTATTATTAAATATGTTCAGCTACTTAATTGGAAGCACTTGTATCAACTACTTGGAACTAAGAACAATAAACGTAACAAGACACTGTGAGAACATTTGATAGATCTGCCGAGAAATAAAAATACCTTGAAATTTTCAAGTACTACAGTGTCTCCATCGCCACGTCAATCAAATATGAATCAACCTAACCTAATCTATTCATCCAACATACAATTTACCATAACTATTAAGAATGAAATTACTTTGATCATTATATTATTCCCATCCGAAGCGTCTATAAAGAAAAAACGTTCGACTCGTGTTACGCTTCTCACTTTTGTCAGAAATTATCGTGAATAAACCCTCTCGAGTTTCATACGAAGCGGTAGGTTTACTTTAACGAGCCTTCCTTGTCAGTTTAACAAGAGCTATTTATCTAGCTCAGCCGACCCGAATTTTCCATTCTGCCAACTCGAGTAACCCAGACATTTCCATCTCATCAAGCAACGCTAACACGATGACAATCAATTTCCTCGTTTCGTCTTCAACAGCCCATTAACGACATCGACTCGGCGTCGATTTTCTTAACAGGGAAACATACGAGGTCTACGTGCACGTTAATTGCCGGCTCGTATTTCGCTCGATACGTTCGCGGCATGTTTAACGCCTGGTTTCGAATTGTCGGTAATTAAGCTATTGCATTTTCGTCAGTCGGATTAACAACGCTGCGATCGAAGCGATTAAGCATACGTTAATCTGGCATAAAACGCTGCTGCCGCATGGTCCCTGTTTCTCTTTGACGTTTCGTGTTCGAGAATCGTCGACGTCTACCGACGTATTTAGTCGATTTCTATCTACGTATGTATTTGCTGTTGTACATTAACGTATTTATTCGTCGTCGTTTATCAACGTATTTATTCGTTGTTGTCTACCGACGTATTTATTCATTTATATCCACCGATGTGTTTACTCGTCGTAGTCTATTGACGTATATATTCGTCGACATCTACTGATGAATATATACATCTACCGACGTATTTATTCGTCGATATCTACCGACGAACTTATTCGTCGTTGTCTGTTGACGTATTTATTCATCGACATCTATCAACGTATTTTTACGTCACTAAATTTAACAGTTTGCGTTAGGAACAGACATGTTAAGTTTATTTCAATAACTTCCAAGTTTTATTTGCTAATTTACAAACTGTTATTTGAATATTTAATATTTCTTTAAACACTCCTTTTCAAATAAGCTTCATATATTCCTTTCATTCATGCGATCTTAGAATTAGAGTCCTTTCTGTTGCTAATGGTCCGCTCGCATGGTACGATAATTAATAATTCATTAACGATTGTATCGTGTCTTTAGTCACGAATTCATCACTAGTGAAAACTTGAATACAGTGTAAGGCAAATGTCATGCGTTGTAGGCATTCATAGTTTGATAATTTGTTAACTTTTTTGTTATTATCATTGTATACTTTCATATTCTTGAACTCTTAAACTTTAGAATTATTTGGGTGACAAACTTCTAAATACTTAAATCTACAAATTCCCGAATGTCAGGGTTTTTGTATCTTCAAATTCCGAAAATGTCAATTTTCTAAATCTCCAAATTTCTTTATCAAGTTTCCAACATTTCAGCTTCCTTAATATCCATATTCCAAAAGTTTCGAATTCCAAGAATTCCAAATTCCAAGGATTCCAAATTCCAAGGATTCCAAATTCCAAGGATTCCAAATTCCAGGAATTCCAAATTCCCAGAATTCCAAATTCCCAGAATTCCAAATTCCAAGAATTCCAAATTCCAAGAATTCCAAATTCCAAGAATTCCAAATTCCAAGAATTCCAAATTCCCAGATCCAAAAATTCCAAATTCCAAAAATTCCAAATTCCAAAAATTCCAAATTCCAAAAATTCCAAATTCCAAAAATTCCAAATTCCAAAAATTCCAAATTCCAAAAATTCCAAATTCCAAAAATTCCAAATTCCAAAAATTCCAAATTCCAAAAATTCCAAATTCCAAAAATTCCAAATTCCAAAAATTCCAAATTCCAAAAATTCCAAATTCCAAAAATTCCAAATTCCAAAAATTCCAAATTCCAAAAATTCCAAATTCCAAAAATTCCAAATTCCAAAAATTCCAAATTCCAAAAATTCCAAATTCCAAAAATTCCAAATTCCAAAAATTCCAAATTCCAAAAATTCCAAATTCCAAAAATTCCAAATTCCAAAAATTCCAAATTCCAAAAATTCCAAATTCCAAAAATTCCAAATTCCAAAAATTCCAAATTCCAAAAATTCCAAATTCCAAAAATTCCAAATTCCAAAAATTCCAAATTCCAAAAATTCCAAATTCCAAAAATTCCAAATTCCAAAAATTCCAAATTCCAAAAATTCCAAATTCCAAAAATTCCAAATTCCAAAAATTCCAAATTCCAAAAATTCCAAATTCCAAAAATTCCAAATTCCAAAAATTCCAAATTCCAAAAATTCCAAATTCCAAAAATTCCAAATTCCAAAAATTCCAAATTCCAAAAATTCCAAATTCCAAAAATTCCAAATTCCAAAAATTCCAAATTCCAAAAATTCCAAATTCCAAAAATTCCAAATTCCAAAAATTCCAAATTCCAAAAATTCCAAATTCCAAAAATTCCAAATTCCAAAAATTCCAAATTCCAAAAATTCCAAATTCCAAAAATTCCAAATTCCAAAAATTCCAAATTCCAAAAATTCCAAATTCCAAAAATTCCAAATTCCAAAAATTCCAAATTCCAAAAATTCCAAATTCCAAAAATTCCAAATTCCAAAAATTCCAAATTCCAAAAATTCCAAATTCCAAAAATTCCAAATTCCAAAAATTCCAAATTCCAAAAATTCCAAATTCCAAAAATTCCAAATTCCAAAAATTCCAAATTCCAAAAATTCCAAATTCCAAAAATTCCAAATTCCAAAAATTCCAAATTCCAAAAATTCCAAATTCCAAAAATTCCAAATTCCAAAAATTCCAAATTCCAAAAATTCCAAATTCCAAAAATTCCAAATTCATAAAATTCCAAATTCCAAAAATGCCAAATTACAGAAATTCCAAATTCCCAAATTTCTAAAATCCAACATTCCCAAATTCCCAAATTTCTAAACTCCAACATTTCCAAATTCCCAAACTTCCAATCCCCAAATCTCCAAATTATCAAATTACCAAATCCCAAATCTCCGCGTTCCCAAACTTCCATCTCGCAAAAACTAAATTCAAAAACTTGAACTCCCCACGGTTGTTGAGCATTGCATTCATCATTGTCGACCGTGCCCACGAGTTGTTTGTCGTGCACTTGATCCGTGACCATCAGTGTGCCGGAATCGTGTCAAGGTACCACGAGACATCGAAGTACCCTGTCACGTTTATTCGTGCATCGTTACATTGCGTCGAATTGCACTCTCGACTGGGAAAAACTTTTCACGACCCTCTTTTCAGCGTCGATGACATAAATCAAATATCTCCGAGCATTTGATATAACCGTGTCATCTGTTTCTGTTTCAGGTACGTATTTCGCGTCGGTGAACAGCCGCCTGTAATATCTCGCTAATTGGTACGAGAACTACGGATCGGTGAGTAAACATTATTTCGAATAATGATCAAATTCATTGGTCATTAAATAAATCAGGGTAACTACCCTGTTTTATACTGTTACTTTTAATAGCGTCTCGAAGCGATATGCTATTTCAACGAGGTTCATATCGAGCGGTCTGCAATTCAGAAGGTTTTAAAGCTGCTAGCTTTCGAGTATAGAATTTTGGAAGTTTCGGATGTTCGGAGTTTGGAAATTTGTAAATTTTCAGGATTTGGAAATTTAACTAATATTGAGATTGGAAAATAAAAAATTTACAAATTACTTTATTTAAAAAGTGAAAAACTCGTGAATTTCGAAACTTTTTCTATTCTGAAAATTGATGAGTTTGAAAATTTGATGTGTTCACGACACACCTGTGTCCACAAGTGTTTCGAATGCTCTGTTTATACATCACGTCTTATGTCAATTTTTTCTCCAAGTTCAAAAAATGTCAGCAACCCTTATTAAAGTATCGACTCGTTCCAAATTCTCAAATTCTTTCATTGATTCTATCGCTTGAACATTAAATTGCTTACGCGGAGATCAACGAAAGTCGTAGCAGTAGTAAGAGTCAACGTATTATCACACGAAATCATGGCTGGCAACGAAAATGAAGTTCGCGTGCTAACAATTGCTTCCTAGATTGTTGCAAGTTAAAATGAAGTTGCGGTATAAATATATTTATGATTTCGTACACGGCAGAAAGACTTGAAATTCATAAATTCGTGTCTGTCACTTTTGTCTTCTAATATATCATGCGGTTTTTCTTTATCTGGGTGATATACGTGTAGAAAGGAATTATTGCATCGGTAGAAAATAGAACGATTCGAATATTCTTTTCACAGTTTTGTATATTCGAACTGTGATCATTCTTGTTTTATGGCGCTTGTTTTTCTGAAATTTAACGCGGGTGAACGCTCGAGAAATTGATCTATTGATCCAGTGGTGTTCTATCATTTCCTTGTATTCTGCTCTATTTTTATAACGTAATCGGAGTACAAAGGAAACGTTTTTCTGATAAGAAAGAACACCGGTTTGCTTCTATTTATCATGCACGTTATCAATTCCACTCCATCAACTGCTACAAGTACCTGCATTATGGTATGAGAGAGTGGAGTACGGTTTCCGCGTTTACAAGTTCGAAATTTAGAAATTTTCTGTACTTGAAAATTTTTCAATTTCTCAATTTTTCAGTTTTTCAATTTCTCAATTTTTCAATTTTTCAGTTTTTCAGTTTTTCAATTTTTCAATTTCTCAACTTTTGAATTCTTCAATTTTCCAACTCTTCAATTCTTCAATTCCTCAACTCTCCAATTCTCCAACTCTTCAAGTCTTCAATGCCCTGATTTTTCAATTTTTCAATTTCTCAATTTCTCAATTTCTCAATTTTTCAGTTTTTCAATTTCTCAATTTTTCAACGTTTGAATTCTTCAATTTTCCAACTCTTCAATTCTTCAATTCCTCAATTCTCCAACTCTTCAAGTCTTCAACGCCCTGATTCTTCAATTTTTCAATTCCTTAATTTCTAAATTTTCAAATTCATAACTATCCAAACTCATAATATCTGACCCAAATGCATTAACAAATCACCTAAACAACTAATAAATACCAATCGATATCCCAATACCAACATTTCCACAAAAGTGTCATAGAAATCCGAGAGTACAGCTCGCACCGCCTCAAAATTCAAACTAAATTAACTGCAATATAATACCCGTCTGTTATTCGCGCATTCCCATGAACAACATCGCAGCATTATATTTTATACATAATTATATTGTGCGACAGCAACGGAGTATACAGTTTTCGGCACCGGGTCGCCGTGCTCTGGCCGCTTTGCTCTAGCAGTATACGTCGCGTCAGCTAATGATAGTTAATTATCATTAACGTGTGGCATAATGTTCGTGCGACTATAATCCCATTACGAGCACAGTTCGTAGGTGAATGCATTTTCATGCAGGCTGGACCAACATGCGATCCGTGATACCGTCGAACTGCGGCCGTTGTTCAACGCGTGCGTGCAAACGACCGTAAGTGACGTGGGTGCCGTCATCATTTAAATATACGACCACTCACTTCAAAGGGCAACGGTAATAAGTTTCTAAAATTCCTGAATTCCCAATTCCCTAAATTTCTTAATTCTTAAATTTGTAATTTCGCAAATTCTCAATCTTCAGATGTCCCAACTTGTGCAATCGCAAATCTTCAAATTCCTAACTTCCAGTGTCTCCAAATCCTCAAATTCTCCAATTCCTTAATTCTCGAATACCTAAATCTCCAAATTCCCAACTTTCAAAGTCTTCAAATTTCCAAATCCTCAAATCCTTAAATTCCCAACTCTCCAAATCTCTAAATTTCCAACCCCTCCAATTTTCGAATCCTCAAATTCCTAAATCCCCAAATTTCCAACTCTCCAAACCCCCAAATTTCTAACTCGCCAATTGCCCAAATCCCAACCCCCAACTCCCCAAACCCCCAAATTTCTAACTCGCCAATTGCCCAAATCCCCAACCCCCAACTCCCCAAATTCTCAAACCCCCAACTCCCCAAATTCTCAAACCCCCAACTCCCCAAATTCTCAAATCCTCAAATCCCCAAATTCTCAAATCCTCAAATCCCAAATCTCGAACTCCCAAAATCTCCAAACCTCCAAATTCCCATGTCCTCAAATCCCCAAATCTCCATACTCCCAAATTCCCAAATCCCTAAATCCCAATTCATCGAGTCCTCAAATCCGAAAGTCCCCAAATCCTCCAGCTGAAAATTTCCAATCATCAACTAACTGCCTATCTTGCATACAAATCCTACTTATTCGCAAATTATAACAATAACGTCACGACATAATATGTAAAAATGAACTCCACCAAAAGGTCAAATAAAACGAGGGAAATTACCCTCCCATGGGGAAGGTAACCTTCGAGGAAGTTTCATGGTAACCTACATTTTCCTTAGACTCGTAGACAATAACTATGCAAAGTTTGGTCCAGATTGGTCGACGGGTTTAAGTGTTAATTGGGAACACATAGACAGACATTCTGTTTTATACGAACATAGTCAGCGTTTAGATGGTACTAACCTACTTCCAAATAGTACTTACCTTGACCGTTCCGAAATTTTCCTTGTTATTAACATCGATGCCTTAAAGCTCTCTCGAAAATTGGTGGTCCATAGCTAACGACTATGCACGGTATGGTTAATACCGCGTTATAACACTGTGTTTCAACCCCCGAGCATCTTGGATTTAATTAACGTTTCTATGGAGCGAGAGATTTACGGTAAACGTGAACTCGTTCGAGAGCTGTGAATGCGGTGATTCTGTCGACTTGCCGCGTATCGATCTTACGGATTTACGTTCTACCACATTGATTTTCATTAATTTATTGAAATAGTATGATGTGTAGAGGAGTATACATATGGGAGACACGTGGTTATGTTGGGCAACTTGGTTTATATCAATGTCATTTTAATTCTATATTTTTTGCTTTTAGTATTCTATGCTTCATGATTTTCATTTTTCTAATTTTCCAAGTTTCTACATGGTTAGTTTTGGAAATTGTCGTGTTCCCTGTTTCCCAATGTTTCTGGCTTTCTCAATTTTCCAGTGTTCCAGTTTTCTGGTTCCACCTTTCACTCTTTCAATTGTTTAGTGTTTCGTATTTCTACACTTTCATATTTTCGATTTCCCATATTTACAATTTTCCAGTTTTCTAGTTTCTCAGTTTCTCAGCTTGTCAGTTTCTCAGTTTCTCAGTCTCTCAGTTTCTCCGTCCTTCAGTTTCAGAGTCTTTCATATTTCCAATTGCTCAGTCGTCCACATTCTCAATTTCCCACTCTTCCAATGTACAAGCCTCAGTTTTACTTGCCTCCACTTATAAATTTTCAAGTTGCTAAACGTCCCAAATAAAAATTCCGAGTGATGTTGTGCTTGCAACGTACTTCACTCGTAAATAATATAACATCCTCTCAAAAGAGACAATTGCATAACGAATTAATACAATAACGGCACAAAGGAATTCGTAACAGCCAAAAGAAAGAAATTTTCTCTTCGTCGCATAATAAAAAATAGTGTCCCTGCCTCTCTCGTCGTTTCACTCGGTTTCAACGAGGCTCCGAATAGAATTTTCCGCCATCTTGTTCATTCCTCCGAGATGGCTGCTATTATCGGTGTCCGAAAATCGAGGCCCAAGACGTCCTGCGAATGCAAATGGAAATTGCGGAAATTCAACTGGGATCGTTATACGTATATATAACGAATACATATGTATGTCCCGAACGTCTTCGAAGTATTCTCTGTTCAATCTTTTCGTCGCGTGTTGACGCACGTATGTAAGTACATACGTGTACTATCTCGTTCTATTTCGTCGCTTCGAAAGTGGGATTCAGACGTCCCGTGGGAAACGCGATAGGAATTGCCAAAGAAACAAGCTCCAGCAGGGAACCTAAGGGGAATAAAATGGAATCGCAACGAAATTGTCTCGAATGTCGTTCTAGGCATTTATTTGTTCGATGCACGACTCACGGATGACCCCGTTTCCATTTACGAGAGGGGAAACTCTCGGACATACGGTTCTTGCCGATCGAGCGTTAGCTTAGGTCAAAGAATTCGCGTGGCTGTAGGTACACCTATCCCTTAGGATCGACTTCTCACGTGCTTGATAGAAACTTTCTTTCCTCCGGGAGCAAAAGTCACGACGGTGCAACTTCTTAAAAGCTTAGCAGGACTTCGTTTAACGATATCTTAATTAACGTTCATTCGATATAACGTGCTTTTCTTGCGGATTCTTTCTAGGTACATGTATTATGGTCACATATGGAATAACTTAAAATTAAAGTTAAACTTCTATTTTCTCAGTTGCATTTCTATTAGTTAATATAAACTAATAGTTAAGTATAGTTAACTTTGTTTAAAGCTGCTTCGTTTGGTGCTTTTTGAGATCTATTTTGAAGTGCTAAGTTAGCTATCACTGTATTGATATGCCCACATATGGTCTATACATA